GTATATACACCTTTAGCATTCAATATAAACGGAAACAAGCCGCAATACTTACAAAACAATAAAACGCAATCAGAAAATCATACGTATTATAAATGGGATGATGAAAAAAGGGAATCATTTAGAAATGGTATAATTGGAAAGCTAAATGTATTTAATGATACTATTTTTAACGACTCTTTGGATATAGACTCTGCAATTTTTTCAATTTTCAACAGCAATAATAGAAACGGCAGACCATTATTTAAGAAGGAGTTTCAAGGAAATGTTCACAATAAATTGTCTAAATCACGTGATAATTGTACTCAGTGGTTTGACTCAGAATGCTTAGGTTCTTAAAAATGAGTATAAATCGGCGCTAAGGTTTTCAATAATTGTAAATCCGATGTTAATAGAATTTACTTTGTGATGTAAAAAAATCGTTTTAAAGTACTATCCGTAAAAAGAAACAGCTTATAAAATTAAGAAATCTCGAGAATTAATTGAATTAAAAAAAAAGAAGCCTCGTGACTTCTGGAAACATTTCAAGACTAAGTGTAACAATGAAAATGGTAATATTCCGGCGGATGAATTTAAGACGTATTTTTCGAATTTATTAGTGATATTAGCACAACGGTAATTAACGACGTGGAACGCTTTAACGAAAGTCACGATTTTAATGTCAATAACCCTACATTCCATGATTTAAACGTTCAAATTATTCTCTACAAGAAGTTACTAAACGCAGTTAAGGGTCTTAAGCGGAACAAATCGCCTTGTCCTAGTGATCAGTTAATAAATGAATATTTTATAGAAACAATAGATATTATAGTAGTCATATCACAGAATTTATTTAACAAAGTTTTTAATTCGGGACATTCCCTGGAGTCTTGGTCACAAGGATTTATATAGTACCCATTCATAAAAAGGGGACAAAAACATGACAAATAATTACCGCGGATTACCTTGATAAGTTAATTTAGGTAAACTTTTACCAGTATACTTACATCTCGAGTAGAAAATTGGTTTGAGAAAAAACAATTTTATTTCGGACGCCCAATTTGGTTTTAGAAAGGGTTAGAAGCACTGTAGACGCAGCATTTGTATTACATAGCATTATAGAACATGTTTTATCTCAAAATTTAAGACTGCCCTGCGCATTTATTGACCTACAAAAAGCATTTGACTCTGTATATCGTAATGCATTATGGTTTAAACTTTTTAACATGGGTCTTGATGGCAAAATATTACAAATGTTTAAGGCTATGTACGCGATAGTTAAATCGTGCGTTAAGAGTTGTAATAAGTGCTCAGAATTTTTCGAAATATCCATTGGTCTCAGACAGGGCCTCAATAATTCTCCGGCATTGTTTGCTCTCTTCTTAGAAGACTTAGAACTTTTTTTACAAGATACAAATACATCAGGTCTATCATTTTATGACGTTTGTGTAATTATATTAATGTTTGCCGATGATATGGTTTTAATTGGCAACTCCACGCAAGACTTACAGAATAGTTTGAATAAATTATACGAGTACTGTAGTTACTGGGGTCTCAAAGTTAATATAGATAAAACTAAAGTTGTAGTATTTCGTAAAAGGGGTCCAGTTAAACAGGAAGAACGATGGTATTATAACAATCAACCTTTAGATATAGTGAATGACTTTAATTATCTGGGCATTGTATTTAATTATACTGGTTCATTTGTTTTACATAACCAATACGTTATTGGTAAAGCATTGAAAGCGAAACACGTATTGTTAGGTAACATTAATAAATTCGATCTAAGTCCAACGTTATCCATGAAACTATTTGATGCATTCGTAGGTTCTATTTTAAATTATGCCTGTCCGATATGGGGATTTTCAAAAAACGAAGGAAATAGAGCGTATACATTTGAGTTTTTGCAAAGCAATTTTGGGAGTGAAACAAAGCACTAGTAATGCAGCAGTTTACGGGGAATTAGCACGGTACCCTTTGTATATAACAAGATATTTTCAAATTATAAAATTTTGGCTGCATCTTTTAAATACGGATAACATTATAATTAGATACGTGTATAACGAATCGTTGAAGAGATGTTTAAACGGTAATATGAGAACTTGGGCCAGTAAAGTTAAACTTTTACTTGCACAATATGGGTTTTCTGACGTCTGGGATTTTCAAGATAGCGTATTAGTTGCTCATTTTCTCCCTGTATTCAAACAGCGGCTTATAGACTGTTACGTACAACAATGGCGAGCGGGTTTGCGTGATAACAACATTTTAAATAATTTATATGTTTACATTAAGGATGAGTTCGTCATCAGTGATTACTTAAATAAAATTAAAACGAAAAAATTACGTCAATCATTGACACGAATTCGTGTGTCAGCTCACACGTTACGTATAGAAACCGGCAGACATGGTAGAAATCGTATTGAAAGAACACAACGAACGTGTCTAATATGTGGAACATCCGACATTGAGGACGAGTACCATTTTATCCTTAAATGTAACGCTTATCAAACTTTGCGTCTACAGTACATCAAACCTTATTTTTATAGGCGTCCTAGCATGTACAAATTTACACAGCTACTTAATTCGAAAAATAACGTCACTTTAAAAAACCTATCTAAATACATTTACCTTGCTGGTCGAATTCGTATCGGACTTATAAATACATTGCTATAAGAAATAATTTTTTTTTCCATTCTCCAAGCATGTGTCTTAAATAGTACAGGTTAATCAATAGTAATACTAAGAACTACAATAAATTAAGCTATTTAGTACTGTCAGTTAATTTAAGTAATAAAGTCAAATATACTTTGAATCTTTGTTAGGAGTGTTGATAAATTTAAATATTTGATAAAGTACAATAATTAATAATGATTGTTTAAATTATCTGTATAGTGTATGCATTTTGCATTCTATACATTTGCACACTTTGTTATTCTCTACTGCAGTATGTTGAATTAGCTGACATATTTTTCATATTAGCTCCTTATCATTGTGACATTGTTAATTTTATAATATTTTATATGTACTTGAAACAACGAGGTACTCTATTTGTACAAGTTGGAAATAAACTTTTCTTCTTCTTCTTCTTCTTCTATAATCTTTTTTTGTAATTTAATTTAAACACACGCGCACAAGCTTTAATTGAGTAATATCAATCAATTTTGTTTGAGCAATCGATTTTGAAATTTGTACTTGAAAAAAAAAATTTGCCCTGAATATGTTATATGTATATATGCTAATAAAATAATTGAATTGAATTTATGTTTTCGTCCATTATTTTATTTTATTTCTTATATTCTTGTTGCATGCTTTACCAGTGTATTTGTGTAAAAAATGTAAATGGATTATAATTGGATATTTTAATTGGCAGGTATGTAAAACTTTATATATGAAATATATTTTGATACAGTTATGAAACACTATTATTTAAAACAACTTTAACTGAACACTTTCATTAAATATGTTATATCTTGCCTATACATAATGTCTCTTTAAAGCAAACATGATCATGAAGCATGATAATATTTCTTGTCGGTACTGTAGGCATGAAAACATTTCTTGTCGGTAGACATGAACACATTTCTTATCGGTACAGAAATATTGCCTAAATCAGAGACATATAACACCTCTGCCTAAATGCAGGATATTTTGTAATCAATGACAACGAAATGTTTTAAAATTATTAATTGAATATAGGCTGACAATAAATTATTTGAACACGCCATTGATAGCAATAATTGTCGGTATCCGCGAATATTCTCATAAGGTCATTCATTAATGATGATATTCTTAATTGAATTAGAATACATTTAACATAATAATTATTATTTATAATACAACATCATCTTAATAAAAAAGAATATGATTTAACACTTATACACAAATTCTTAATGTAATATCAATGATACGAACATGGCCGAGTTCTTGACGGTGAGAAACTGAGACTGACTTCTTGTCGGTATAGATATTTGCCTATAAACATGGTTCAGAACGAATTTATTATGTTTTTTATGTAAAAAAAAAATATTAGGAATTGTTATTATTAAATGATGAATAAGTGAAATTAATTCGTATTTTCCCATTTTTACTTCTTGTCGGTTCTTGTCGGTTCCTGACGGTTCTTGTCGGTAATTAGGGAGACCGGTGGTAACGCGCTCGCTTAGTGAGTGAGAGGTCTCGAGTTCGAATCCCAGTCGAGGAAATTTTTTTTTTGTTAAATTCTTTTTTTAATTGTTTTTGTTAAGGAAGTAGCCATGATTTACAAGGATAAAGTGTGGCTGTCGTAAAAAAAGTACATAAATGATTTTTTGATGCAACTCTAGTTATGCAGAATTCCGTATGTGCCTTACAAAATTATAATACATAAAAATAAACTTATACAGGAAAATGCATACAGATATACAGTACGATTTAGATTGCAAAGATCAGAAAATACCAAAGAACTTGAAGCCCTTTGATTCTTTATAAATTTACATGCTTATAGTAAGCTTCAGGATTATTTACATCTGTGTTAAACAACAGTTAAAAGTCGTTACAAGCCCTAATTTAGAATAATATGGTTTTCTTCAGGCCATTCACATATAAATTTAACCGTGGCTGAAGGGTTTTCGGGCTCGCTTAGGAAGCGAGAGGTCTGGAGTTCAAATCCCAGTAAAGGTAACTCATTTTTTTAAATTGTTAAAGTCAAATAAACATTGGATTGAATATCAGTGTTGCAATTAGTCTTATAGCCAATTTACTACAATTAAAACGCTGGAAAGCATTGGTGGCACTAAACATATAATCTCACAACCTGCACCTTTCTTACATTCTGAGACCCAAACAAATTCAGCGCCTTCTGTGCTTTGATTTAAATATCTTGGCAAATGCAAGAGATTTAAACGTTTAAGAACTGAACTCTAAGTGGTTTAGATTTATGATCAATAGCAAGCCCAATGCGGTTATAGATTTATAATGTCATTATACTTGATAAAAGACAACCAATAAATCCCATATCCCACATTTTGTGTTGAATTAGTTTACTACTGAACACGCGCGTTTTCTTATAATAAGTTGGTATTGATATCTAGGGCTTTTTAAAATACAAAATAAACATTAACACCGGCTTTTTTTCAAGGGCGACCCTTTTATTTATTACTTTAAATATAGGCTATTTAAATATCAGTGTTTAAAATTATGTTTTCGAATAAATAGAGAGGAGAAGATAATCAATACGTTAAGCCATTCATTTTAACAAAAGACTCTCAATAAACTACGTAAAATATTTAAAGCATTTATATTACTATTGGATATAGGACGGTTAAGTTGTAAACTTGCATTTGAATTAGAAGGAATATGTCGGGCAGACGTACGCACAGAGGAGCTGACGATAGCTTCTCGTTAGCAGACGACAAAAGAAAAACCGGAATGGAGGATTTAGTGTTAATTGTAGAAGGGAAAAGAGTGAAAACCAATAGTGGTCTTTTAAGTTACAACTCGAATGTTTTTGCTTCACTTATATCAAATGCACTTTTAGCAAAGAACGCAGACGAAGATGACGTCATGGATATAATGATGCGTCAGGAAACAAATGAATCTCAACAAAAGCTTACGCTTGAAATGCCAAATGTGAAATATAAAGATGTTAAAGTTATGATTGAATGCCTTATGTTCATAAGCACTTCAACAGAAGACTTAACAGGTGCGTACTTTCTTACTTACATCTACGAATTTTTTAATTAATGTAAAATGAATGCATAGATCCCTAATCTATCCAATTATCAGATAAGTGGTTTACAATAGGACTTTTACCACAAAATATTTGTTAACAAAAGACACTATCTCAATGTTTGTGGTTAAATTTATTTTTATTCAAAGAAAAAGGTCACAGCAAGGATCTATCTTGATAACTTTTATGGCATAATGTTGGCTGAATTTGATAGGCATTTGATTACAAAAACAGTATTTATTTAACAATCAGACTGCTTCAGTTCACTGGATTCATACTCAATGTACTGGTCGTTAACCTTAACCCTTTTGTATCACGGTGGTCTGCACTTTCAACTTTTCAGTCGTTTGAAAATTACGCCTACCCTTAAAACAATGACTCCGAATGCTTTTTTTTCATACTTAAAGGTGTTAAGTTCCAAATTAGATATTTTGCATGGTAATGGTAAAAACACTTTAAACAAAACGTAATCCTGAAGTGCTGATACGTGTTTTTCTCACGTTATTTGCTAACGGGCTGTCCTAAAATTCTAAAATTGCCAGACTTGCAGATATTGCCCGGCTCTGTACTGTACCGAATGGTACTTAGTAGATTGGTCATTGTTGGCACGACGACATAGATCTATGCTTACTAGTGACACTTTCTAAACACATGGTATACTACAATATATAAGCAATTCAAAAGAGTGTCAATCTGACAAAAGACAGGCGTATGCTTCACATGTAGCGTAGCAGTATTCATGAGGCTAAATTTTTATTATATAATACAAAGTCTTTTTGATATTAGTTTGTTAAATTTAATCATACTGACACAATAATTGTCATTTGCCGATTTTTCAAGTTTTACTGGTTAAGGGAAACCCTGGATGCTCTCCGTGTACTTTTTAGACACAAACGCCGTGAAGCGGACATCTAAGTAGAACCAACGACGAGCTAAATAGCACCCTCACATAAAATTAGTCCCTGGCGGGATTCGAACTCACAACAGTGAGGGGCATGTGGTTTGAAACCAACAACCATTCAGTCACCAGCACCATATTCAGAGTCTATATATTGTTTACATACACACTGGCATTATGGACGTACTAGTATTTACTGCGTAACTGATCTAAAAGTAATTTTAAACATCATACATTTGTATTTAACAAGCTGTAATTGGTAACTTTGTATTGACTCTTCCTTGTTTATTTCGTTTTGCAGCCACTAAAGCATTGCGAATTTTGCCTCTGGTGGAAAATTTCCGAATAAAGCGTTTGAAGAAGGCATGTGGTAAGACGCTCTACGATTCCATTATTGCTATGAGAAAAGATCTTGGAACAGGAAGTCTCCCAACACGTGACTTGCTCCAATATTTGGCCGCAGCCGACGTGTACAACTTTGATAAGCTAAGAAGAGTATGTATAGATGAACTGGCCAGAAACATTGATCCTAAGGATAGACTTGCAATTCAAAGTGATAAACATGTACACGAAAAATCAAAAGTAAAAATATTTGGGGAAATGTATGACATTATGGATAGAGAATACGAAAGTAGAGTTCGACAAGTGAGGCATGACATGGACGGCAGATGTCGTCTGCTTGAGCAGAAGAGAGACGAGTATATGGAGCAGTTAGAAACATGGAAAAACGACCTTAGACAGGACGTGGATGACTTGGTGAAACAAAATGAAGATGCTCATAAGCAGTTTATCAAAGATCTTTATCAAAAGAAGATAGTTGACCAAATAGATGGAACTTTGAATGAAACGAAAGAGGGTCTTTTCGAAGAAATGGAGAAACTACAAAGCGAGGTTAACTATGTATTTCAAACCATGGAGGCAAATGAACAGGCAGACGAAGAAGAGATATCAGGTTTAAAACAATATCTTGAAGAAGCAATAGAAAAAAATCAACAAAATATCAAAAGTATTACAGACACATTTAAAGAAAAGTTGGAACAAAAGTTATGCATTTGCTCCTTGAATGCAGCAAGTCTGAAAACATTTTCGTCATCTAAAAACCTTGAAGAGAATGTCAGTGCAAACATTGATGAACTTGAAAACAGAATTGAGTCTCTGGCCAGGTTTGAAATACAATATGAAGAAGAAGTAATCGCCCACAAGAAAGCACAAGCGGAGCTTTTGAAGATTAAACAAAAGGAGCACCAAATGAACACATGGTTGAAGTGGGCAACGCCAGCAATAGACGACGAAGACAAATGTCAATGTTACAGGCATGCTGTCGCCCGAAAATAAACATTTATTTACTAAACTGCATTTATTTTGCCTTTCTAAATGATTGAACAAAGAAACCCGGAAGTCTAAACTTTGGAGGTTAAAATTATGTAAAACACTGAAGATTTTGCAGGGTCGGTTTGGCTTGTTTATTGACTGAAGTGATTTATGCATGCTACACTACCGGCTCCATTCACCGGCTGAACTGAAGAAGAGTATTATGTGTGCAAAAATAAAATTTAAGCGATAAAAAAGAGAAAAACCGAAGGACAGACTGCTAACCCACATTTTTTCTTTTCTTTCTTTTTTGATATCATTATATTTACTAATCATGCTTTAAGTTAGTGTCATTAAAGCCATTGAAACAGTTTCCATTTGTCTATAATTATGTCCGTATTTTTATGTACATGTGAAAGCTATGCTTAACGATATTTAAGACTGCAGTAAATTATTATGCTAATGGCGTCATGATAAATTATCATTAATTAAAGAGGATCATAACGGTTTGAATAGTGTGTGTCTGCGTGGCCTAGTGGTTACCGCGTCGGACTAGTAATCTAAGTATTGCTGGCCGAATGAATTATAACCCTGTCAGGGACAAGCCGTTGTTTCCGTGATTAAGATACTTTACACCAATTGCTTAGTACTGGTTAGTTCCAGGAACGAACTCCAGAGTGTTTCAATAAGCTTATTTAAGCTTCTAAAACAATCAAACCAGAATAAATTAGTAATAAAACTAATAGTTGATATCCAATAACAATGCGAATGGTGTCTTGAAATTACACAAAATGTGTAAACATAATATTGACGATGTCGATATTGATGATAATGATTGTGATGTTGTTGTTGTTAGTGGTGGTGGTGATGATGATGTTGTTGATGATGTAAATGATTATGATAAAGATACTGATTTTTATTATAATTGTATTGGTGAGGATGGTGTTTGTGAAATTAATATAAAACAAAAATGATCACCATCAACAACATAATATGATAATTATTATACTAATTATCATTTCATCATCATCATTATAAGCCATCACTATCATTATCTTCATTATTTGTAAACTATAAGTGCATATTTCATTGTGCGTTGTGACTTTTAAAATGCCTCTATATATCATCAAATTAAGAAAATATAAATATAAACTTTTTTTTTCTACTTAAGTTAATAGTGGAGTGGAAATCTGAAACAATGATATAGCATATATATCATTTATGAGATAGTTTAGTTGGTAACTTTCTTAGTATCATTTATAATGAGAAATGGAATACTAGTACTCTGAACGCTCAGCTAATTAGATATTTAGATTATCAATACTTTCATAATAAGAGAATTTTATTGTCTACGTTTAATCATCGCCATTTATATGAACAATTAATAATACATGATATCTAAACATCACGAAGCTTATAAAGGATAAAACATGTATAAAATCTCATATTATAATTAGTTGTCATATAACATTTTATTAAAGATACACCATGTTTAAATTTGATATTATAGTAGATACTGATAATTGCTGTACAGTCACTTTGGTAATATAAAATAAACATGTTTTGACTTCATATATATGACATATGACAGAGTACATATGTTACGTTCAAGACTCTACACACTATAGGTTGTCACATTATGAATATATTTTTTCATTTAAAAAATGGCAGGATTTTTAGATTTCAATATATTTCTGTGAAAAAATATTTTACTGAAGGATGAGCATAGTATATCTTTAAACACATTTACGAAATTGTTATAGAACGAGCTTTATTTAAAGCATTTTCTTGGGCGAGTTTAATAAAAAAATTAAGATATATGACAACAAATGTGAGATTATTTTTAACACTTGACTGATTGTATTTAAATTAATGAAAATATTCGGCAGTTCACTCGCTTTTTTACGCTGATGTTATAAATTGTTTTAAGTGTTTTACAAATGAACAAGTACTTATATAAATTTACAAATATCTCTGTGCAACATAGATTAGAACTTTTTGATAAATTAGTATTACCAATCTTGAATTATAGCAGTGAAATGTGGGGTTTTTTTTACACGGTAGAGCTATAGAAAGAACTCATTTATCATTTTGTAAACAGTTACTTGGAGTTAAAATATCACACAAAATAATTTCATATACGGTGAACTGGGCAGACTTTCACTTCAGTCATTACGTTATTTCAACATTGTTAAATATTGGATAAAATTTATATGTACAAATGAAAACAAATATATAGCAAAGGTATATCTAATGTTGAAAAATGATTTAGAACAATTTCTTAATAAGAAAAACTGGTGTTCGTTGGTAAGAGATTTATTATGTAACCTTGGGCTTAATGATGCATGGTTTTATCAAAATGTCAGAAATGTAAATGTATTTCTTAGTTTAGTTAAACAAAGAATTAAAGATCAATTTATTCAAAATTGGACTGGTAGGCTAAATGATTCATCAAGAGCTTTATATTACAGATGTATTGCACAAATTCAACTACAATCATATTTAAAATGTATAGGTGTGAGAAAATTTTGTACTAGTATGACAAAACTGCCATGCTCCTCGCATAGATTATGTATTGAAACAGGAAGATGGGCAAGACCTGTCAGTGTACCTATAAATGAACGCAAATGCACATTCTGCAATGTGTTAGAAGATGAATCACATTTTGTATTACAATGTAGAATGAACTCTCAATTGAGAACACAATATATACCAATTCGTTACTGGAGATCTCCAAATATGTTTAAATTTATAGAATTAATGAATACTGAAAATCAATTGTTAATCAGAAAACTGATTAAAATATTTCAGAAGCATTCGTGATGCGCTCAGATATTTTATATGGAGCTGATTAGTATGTTAATGATTTTCATATCTACAACTATGTCTATACTTTTGTTAAAACTAGACTTATAGTACTACATTGTATGTTTCTCTTATTATATTATTGTCCCAATCGACATGTTGGTCAATATAGGCTAGTCATATGAATATGTAATATTTCTTCTATGTCAGTCATATAAATGTGTGATTCATCCTATATAATATAGTATCATAGCTCAAATATATGTATATTTTACAAGCGAAACTGCTGTTATCTAATTGTTCCTCCTCAAATCTTGTCATTGATGGTAAGATCTGGGAATGAGAAAACACATAACTAAACATACATCTTAAGACTAAAGAGCAACTTACCGGGTGACTAATCTTGTATTTCGCTTTTGACAAGATTATCCCCCTTAAATTTTTCAATCTTTTCTTCATACAAAGTAATTTATTAGAAAAAATGTCTGGACAGTACACATTTATATACAAATTTGTTCCATTTTATTAGATAACTGCAGTTAATTATGCTAAGAAATTATATGGTATATCAATATATTGTTAAAGCTATAGTGCGGTGGATGTTACATAACTCGATGTACAGGTCTAGCGATAAGACCATAGCAATTATCTCCCGTGCACAATTAATGCTGTGACAACAATGATGTATAGGCAGTATATAAAATGTATGTAAAAATTCACACTTTCATTATCAACATGATTTAATTCAATATTCAATTGAGAAATATTTTAATCTATCAAATTATCTTCTTTACTAGCGATAGATCCAATCTAATATATAAAGTCAGTACAATTTGATTTTTGTCACACGTAAAACTTATGTTGCATATATACTTTTGACACATAAGACGAAAATGTGAATTACTATAAGCATGTAAATCATTTAATAGGTAAATACATTGTATATGTTTTCATTTCCTATGTAAAATTTGCTATTGCAATGCATGTATGAGATCATGTCAGTTTTGCACGTTTGCCATATTATATGTTTTGCATATTATACCACATGGGTCTATGACCTTCTGGGAAAAGATAAATAAACTTGTTAAACTTACACTTGTTATATTACAAAAGTCTGATAAATGCTTACAAGTCATTGGTCTGACGAAATAAATCACTGCAATTTGTTTCTCCAAATCAACAGGGCAATCACATTGAAATTGTAAGTTAATTGAAATCTGAAAGTCTATAAATACAGAAATGAAATGTTCAAATGAATAATGATATAAATGACAGTATTTGTGGGACATTAGTCCAGCAAGAGAAATGCTAATTATAATAAAAGAAAAATATACTTTGATTGGTGTTAACTTGCTGGGTATCTGCGTAAAATATTAATCTATCAAGACAAAAACAACAACAACAAAAACAAAACACCAGACGACCAACAATAAGGTCTATAAACAATTTTATATTCAATAATTTTATCATATATCGTGTACGATAACGCAACGTATCATCTCTTTATGCATACCACATAGCATAATTATGTTTACGATCTTTATATAACTTGCGTTTATTTATTTACGGTCTTCATATAACACGCTTTTAGGGTTTCATAAAGCATGCAATTACAGCTTCATATAGTGTACGGTTATGGCCTTCAAAAAATGTGTTTATGGTCTTCATAAAGCACGTGTTTATGGTCTTCATATAGCATGTGTTTATGGTTTTCATATATCATGTGTTTTGTCTTCTAAAAGCATGTGTTATTGGTCTTCATATAACATGTGTTTATGGTCTTCATATAACATGTGTTTATAGTCTTCATTTAGCCAGGTTTATAGTCTTTATATGACATGCGTTTTTTGTCTTCATTTATCAAACGTTTATGGTCTTAACGGGCTTCATATAGCATGCTTCTTTGGTTTTCATATATCATGTGTTCGTTTACGGTTTTCATATAGCATGTGTTCGTTTACGGTTTTCATATAGCATGTGTTTGTTTACGGTTTTCATATAGCATGTGTTCGTTTACGGTTTTCATATAGCAATGGTTTATGGTCTATTCTGTCTTCATAAAGCATATGTTAAAGATCGTCATATCTTCGGAATTTCGTATTTGTTATAAGCTATATATATATCGTCACTGTTTTACACTTCTTGTTTCTCTTCTAGTAGATTTAAAGAAATTGCTTTCTATAAAACATTTACATATTCAACAAAATTGAGCCGTGTCATGACAAAACCAACATAGTGCGTTTGCGACCAGCATGGATCCAGACCAGCCTGCACATCCGCGCAGTCTGATCAGGATCCATGCTGTTCATTATTAGTTTCTCTTCTTGTTAAAAGGTTTAAAAGCGAACAGCATGGATCCTTATCAGACTGCGCGGATGCATAGGCTGGTCTGGATCCATGCTGGTTGCAAACGCACTATGTTGGTTTTGTCATGACACGGCTTAAATGTTCATCAGCCGGTTTTAATTAGAAAATGTAATAAGAAAAGAATAGGTTGTTGTTATGATTATTCATATGTGAGAAACGTCTATCAAGAAATGCAGACGACAAGGTGTTCTTAGATTTCCC